AAGGCGATATGGGACGCAGTCCATAATGAAGGTGGGATTGAACCAACCCATCATGCGTGAGGTCCTGGAGAAAATAGTGAGCTCCATGGAGTCGGATGTTCTGACCGAGTCAGTAACAGAAGACAGTGCCGATGATCAGCATGTTGCAAAGAAATTACCTGTCAGACGAGCCAGGAAAGGGCTGAAGCGACTAAAAGGGAGGACAGGAAGTCGAGCCATGAACCCGAAAGTGGTGAAGTCAAGAGCCAACGCAGTGGTGACCTCTTTAGCGAGCGCAGGTCGCTCAGGCGAGAGCGGGCAGGGAGATACTACAACGCTGACAGGGGGAGAAAAAGAGAATCTGATACCCCCTATGCTCTTGGCAGGTCTGACCGTGACCGCCACAAGGTCGAAGAAGACGGCGCGAACCCTGGCAGACACCAAGTTAGAAATGGAAGTAATCAGTCAATGTGGATCTGGAGGACTTGAAGATTACAGGCCCTCGCGAATCAACATGGCCAAGTTGAAACTGGAAGGACAACTCGACGTGGTCGAGTACAGTCGAATAACTGTGCCGGAGTCGGTCCACATGGGAGATCCGGCAGGGGGTTATGTGGAAATGTTGAAAGCGAGGAACTCCGCGAGAGGGCACCTGATGGCTTGGAACGAGAAGCGAGCCATGCAAGAATACTTGAAGGGGCTTACGGAGAACTCCAACTTCAATCGAAAAGAATATGGGACAGTAATGTCATCAGAAGCGAACGAAATTGGATTAGAAAAGTTGCTAGAGATTTCTTGGAGGGCGGCCCTCCAGAAATACTTTGATGAGACGATGAATGCACCTGCGACTGTAGCAGCATACCTGGCTCATCCTTGCGTGAGAACTGATCTGCAAGTACGACTGGCTTGGTGCTTGATGGGCATCAAAAGGGCGGAGTATGAAGCCAGCAACGACTCGAAATCACGAGAACAGGAGCTAGAATTGATGGAAGCTTTACGAACATTGATCTCAAAAGACGATTCAGCGATAGCATGGGCTAAACGGAAGGATGCCCTTTGCTTTGTCAGGTTTGTGGTGGATCGCATCCCCACTCCTGTGTTGGGAGAATGTGTAAAGATCATTCGGCAAGAGGGAGTTGATTGCGAAAGGTACTTCCTTAGGGCTCTCCTAGAGCTATATCAGGACATGCCATTGACCGTGCCAAACAAGGAGTCGAATGATATGGAAAGCTATCGCAAGTTGGAAGAAGTGAGAAGATACTCCAACAAAGAATTGAAAGTGAGTCGAGACTTGATTGAAGCGGTCAGAGGACAAAAAGAGTTTGCAACCCTAGGGAGACTGAAGTCGTTCCAATACGTGTCTGGTATACCAGGGATGGCGTATAATCCCTTCGTGAACGAAGAAGCCAGGGAAGCATACTTCGACTACGAGCAGGTCACAGTGCTCAACTTCTGGGTTGAACGAATTAAGGAGATCGGAATGCTGATGGTGGAACAACCCAAGCTGGGAATTATTTTGGAGGAACGAGTAGTCGAACCCTCGATTCCCGAGCTAAAAGGGCAAGGGAGTTTTGATTGTGGTTCTTGGGACGGTCCCTTGAAAACCAGTCTAGTGGTGATGTGGGAACTCATGAAGCCTTCCTGGTGTCCCCATCCTAACGCAGGCTTAATCTGGGACATGACCGCGGATGTCATATTGGAAAGGGATGATGATGCGAGTTTACATGATCTGGCCATGATACATCACCTGCTAAGCATGAGATTGATGAAGAAGAAGAGCAACCCGTCCACGGAGCTGTCCGAGGAAGGTACGTCGAGTGATTGGTTGGAGCGAGGCACATGCTTGGCTCAACATAGTGGGATGGAAGGACATGTTTGTAACGTGGGACACTGCCTGATTACGCTGAGCGAGCAGCATCGACAACTGGCACGATTGTATGGAAGATTAAGCATGTCAGATAAGAGTGCCATGGAATTGGTCGCAGACTGCCATGGGGTGACGGACGTAAACCTGATCACAGCCTTGGGATTTTGTAGCATGACGAGTTCGATAGAATCGCTCGAGCGCTTGGAGCGTGCCCATGAGCTAGTGGCGTCCCTCAGCGTGGAGATATTCCCTGGAGCATTACAGACAGAGCAAAAGATTGGAGGCTGGCGAGAAGCCCTAGAGAATGAAATGAATCTGAGGGATAGTGAAGCCTATCACAGACCTACTGGTTCAAAATATATGGTGGGTTCAAGCTCCGCGCCATACTGCAATAGCAAGTATCCTACGCACATGGTGGTGATGGATGCGAGGACGCAACAGGTGTTGGTTGACCAGCTTTTCTCTGTGCCAAAATGCGTGAGGTTGGCCAGAATGTCAGAGAGGTCATATGACTTGTTGGCAAAGATCTTTCGGGCAGTCCCGAAGAGATCCGAAGGCGAGTTGCAAGACGTTGTGGGTGAAGAGTTCATGATACTGAACGAAGGCAACGTGAGTGAGTTCCAGAAGCAGATAGCGAGTGGAGCGTTACCCACTGAATTCCCCACCATAGAAGAGAAAGACGATCTACATAGAATCCTGATGGAAGTGGAACCGTTGCTGGGAGCCTCAGGGTATCGGACCCGAAGGAACATAGTGAGAACCCACGGGGAGTATCCTTGCCACTGCTTAGCGCAGACGTTGTGGTACCCCAAACGTGGGAACCTGATCCTAATTTGGGACGTGGAGGAGTTGTACTCCACGGGGTTGCCCGATCAGAATCAACCAGTGTCAATCGTGGTGGTTAGCGCCATGCTAGCAGTGAGATGGTTGGAGGCTTATGCGGACACAAATGAGCAGGAGACGGCCGTGCCGACTCCTGAACAGCTGAGCAACGTGAAAATGAGTAGTGAATTGGATCTTTTCAGAACCACTTGCAAGGTTCTGAGAATACCTAAAGCCATTGAAAGAATATGGTCAAGGCAAAGATTGATGCCTTGGTTCCGTGCAGTGATGACATCTTGGATGTATGAACGCGCGAAGCGTCACATGTCAAGGAACACGGAAGCCTATCAATCTTTCCAGCTAGACATAGGACCAGGAGCCTATAAGAGAGCTTTCCTGACGCATAGAAACGCGGTCACCACTGCGGTGAAGCGAGTAGCTGGAGCGCCTTGTGTTACTGAAGATGAAAAGAAAGAGGTCTTAAGAGCTGACCTAGAACGAAACGTGAGCCTGTGTCTTCACAACAGCTTTTGCAGGAACCGGGAGCAGAAGGTGAATGTGGACTTACTACCTTGTTGCAAACCGAGGCTGTTGGAGCAGGAGGGTTGGGGCACGGCCCGCAACTCTCTGGACATGTTAGAGAAAGTTCTGGAAGATAGTGACGCTGAACATCAGGATGGAGAAATGATGGAATGAAGATGACGGAGGAAGAGAAGAGAAGGAGAAAAAACTTGATTGTCTTTGTGTGTAAAAACTTGAACAAATCAACCAAGTTTTGATTATTGAACTTGTGAAACTTTTTGTTTTGATTTAGCTTGGTCAGACCAAACTTTGAAAATTGTTGCAATTGTTAAAATTGTTGAAATTGTTGATTTTAGTTACTACTATCTATGTATGTATATAAGGAGCATAGGTGAGTATATTTACCTATTTATTCCCGACTGAAGTTTTTAACCTGTGTAAGACACAAATTCACTGTGTGGCGACATGGTAAGTTTGAGTAAACTCGCTCGAGAAGGGTGGGTAACTCAATAACTTTCCTAGCCACAGAGTTTCTTAGTTTTAATATTGAAAGGACCGCATAAATGACTAATTATACTTGGTGAGTGAAGTTAAGTTAATTTTAACGGGTGCGTGGCCGTGCCACGTCCCACTTTTTAATCAGAAGCGAAAAGAAGTTTTATGGCGAGATGACGTAAGTAGTCAGAAAGGAAATTTTATCTAGGACACTCCTCATGGTGCAACTTTTGTGAAAATGTTGAAAGGCAGTGAGATGTAGTACGATGCCATTTGTGAACACGTAGTGAGTTGAGGTGGAGTAGATAAATTTCATTTTCTTATGCGATTTGTAAGATTGGTTACAGAAAACTGGATACCTACTTGACGATAACCCGGTGTTGTGCGATCAATAGGGACATTGATGGAGACTTGTCCGGGGAGTATGTGCCATTCCGCCGGATGACACAGTATAACCTTCCCGCGACAGAAATAAAAGTGACTAAAGGCCTTACGAACAGAAAAGTGTTGCGACGGAGGGTCAGAATGTTCTGGAATTTTTATTTTTAAAATTTCGATTTGAAGGAGAACATTTCTGAGAAATAGAAAAAAGACGGCCATTTTGAATAAAATAGAGAAAAATCAGAACGACGCCATATTTTGTGACGAACGGTTGTATCCGAGACGAGAAAATTACGGAGCCTCTTATCGTGGTAATAACACACGATAAGGACCTTAGTGACGGATATTTGTGGAGACGGAGGCTTCAGTGGGGGGAAGAGAGATACCACGGAACCCTCCCGGGACACGAAATATAGGAGATAAGAGTGTTGTCTCAAGAAAATCACGGGAGCGGAGGCTTGGTCCCCCAGAGACTGTTATATGTGAAGGGACTGTGTAAACTAGCCATAACAGTTGCTGTAATGTCCTAGATCTGAATTAAACACCGTTATTATTTAATATTTCAGAGCATGAGTAGATAGAGAAAGGAAAAGGTCAATCCATCTCCAATGGATTTAATATAAAACTGTCACACAAAAACATATAGAAATAGGTGGTTCGAGCCGTGTTTTTAATGACAATCACGTAGTCTGAGGATCCGAGACTCAGCTATGTGGTTGTGTTCGCATGCAAACGAAAGCTGATCAAAAGTCGTTTGACTGATGGCCTAAAAATAGTAACTTTTTACTTTGCCCTAGACAGACCAGAAAATCAACTGGCAAGGTCGAGACGGTGAAAAACGAGTGGAATTAAGGTAACTGACGCCTGCCAGTCGTCAATAGGTACTTTTTCTACGCTCCGTCGCTGTGTGATATTTGGGCGAATGTTACACTGTCAGAGGAGCATCTTTCGACAAATTATATTTATTATACGTCATCGTCACCTTAAATTACAAAAAACACAAATTGATCAATGATGAAGGTTAACACTAGTCTGATACTCTCATTACATTTCTGTTATAAGAAGTGGCCTTTTTGCAGTAAAAAATCGCCCATTCGCTTTTTTCGATTGAACTTTTCATTACAAGTCAAGTCAAGTTTTTATGACCATTAGGCAGTGCCTCTTGTGGTCATTTCAAATGTTTTTTCCTTTCTCCGTTCGAATTTGACATGTCAATTTCAATGGCTTTCCAATGTTTGTCCAGTTTCCACTTGAATCTATTTATAATTTTTAATAATGTATTTATAATTTTTAGACGATAGCGTTAACGCTTTATTTTGTTTTTATACTTGAATTCGTCGATGGTCTTGCTTTGCACTGTTTCCTGTGGCAGGTTGTTCCAGTCGAGAGGTGCTCTAATCGTGAAGAAATTTCTTCGCATTTCTAGATTTGCTTTACGTACTACTACTTTACATGCGTTACCTCTAGAATCCCTATCATTCCGCTCGAATAGTCCCGCAGTGGCATTCCTATCATACAAACCATAGCAGATTTTATACATTTCTATCATTGTTCCTCTTTTCCTTCTGTATTACAGCGATGATATATTCAGTTCTTTAAGGCGTTCGTAATAGGATAGATTTTTCATACCACTAGCTAGACGCGTCGCTCTTCTTTGTACGTTTTCCATGATCTTTTGATGCTTGATCAGTCTTGCGTGCAGGGATATCGATTCGAATCCGAGTATTCGACCCGAATACCGAGTATTCGGCACTTCGAAGCCGAATCCGAATATTAAAATTTTGAAATCCGAATATCGAATCCGAATATTTTTTTTTTTGCCGAATACCGAATAATCCAGGGTCCACTGCTAAAAAACCCGAATATTCCGAATATTGGTTTACTGTTTTGTTTCACAATATTTTTCTGTTTTTTTTTAAGATGGCTAATGTAGAAGAGTCTGATGTCGCTGCCGAGTGCGAGTATAGGAAAGAAAAAGGAGTGTCAAAATGGCATGAAAAGTTTCTTGTGGAATATCGAGGTGGTAGAAAAACGGAAGGAAGAAAGTGCATTAAATGCAATGTTTTGATTAAGAGTATTGGGGCGTCAACGACTTCGATGACTAAACACACGCAAGTGTGTGATAGCAAAACGGTCCAAACTGTCATTGCATCGGACCAAACTGTAATTCCTTTCAAGCGGGCTAGAGTTCAAGACGGCTTGAATGAAGTTGCTAAACTTGTATATGAAGACAATATACCAGTGTACAAAGTTGTGCGTTCTCCAACGTCACAATCATTTTTTAAGCAGCTTCACTTTAGTAAAGTCACCTACTGTTCAGTCAACAATGCGCTGGAGGTAAATTACCAAACAGCAGTACAGAAAATTAAAGATTTGATAGTAACACGTGATAAGCGACAAATGCTCTCCTTGAGTTTTGACAAATGGACATCAGCGGACAACAAAAAGTTCATTGGAGTATATTTGTATGTTGGCGGAGAAAGCGTTTGCTTGGGTTTGATTTATTATACTGGTTTCTGTGGGGCCGAAGAAATACTCATCGATCTGAAAAAAACGCTAAGTCGTTTTGGTCTACAATTAAGAGACATTTCCTTATTTATTAGCGACTGTGGGTCGGATGTTCAATTAGCTGGCCGCATTGCCAATGTATTTACATTCCCATGTTTGGCTCATGTTATTAACCTGATTGTCAAGCAGTTTATATGCAATGTCGGAAACGAGACAGAAAACTTTGACGAAGAGCAACTAAACGCATTAAATAGTGACTGTGATTCAGACAATGATGATGATGAAAATGATAACACTTTTGAAACTATGTTAAGCGGAACTGTTCACCGATTGAGAGAGTTGTGCAGGAGAATTAAGAAATCCCCCACTTTACGAGATAAGCTAGCAAATGTTCAATTGGCTCTTGGGCAAACTATTTTGTCCATAGTGATTGATAATAAGACCCGCTGGAACTCGCTCTGTGACTGCATGACAAGGTTTCTTGAGTTGAAACCTATTCTTATTTCTATTTTGCCATCTGAGGATTTAAATGATTTTGACTGGGATAAAGTTGCGTCGATTTGTCGAACACTGAAACCTTTGAAGGAGTGTACATTGGCTCTGCAAAGCAACAAGTCTGATGCTGCGTTAGCTGTGAAAGTTATAAAATTTCTTAATCATTTGGCATATATGGAACCAGCTCTTAATTCTCCAATTCGCACTGTTTTGGGTAAGTGGATTGATAACAATCCTGTTATCACTGCCCTGATTAATAAATCGGGGAGTTTTTTTGAAACTATTCGAAAGTTCGCTGTTGAACCCGAAAGTGCCACACAGGTGGCGTCTAATGATCATCAATATGTGGCTGTGGAAGAAGGTTTGTCTTTTGCAGAGTTCAATAACAATTGCCAATTAGATGAGTTTGACATTTTCGCTTTTCTGGAAAATTTTCGTCCGTCCAGTGTTGATCCAGAGCGCCTATTTTCTTTATGCCGACTCAGTCGCAACTACTTACAAAATCGATTATCACCTGAGAATCATTCACGAAATGTTTTCTTAAATAAGAATAAAAGGTTTTTGAAATAAAACTGTTCATTAGCAAACTTGTTTTAAAATTACGGTCTCTTTTTTAAATAGTGTCACTCGATTTAGCTCGAAAAACTGGGTTGTCACTGATTTTTGACAGTTTTTAGCGATCTCAGTCGATTTAGCTCGAAAAACTGGGTTGTGAGTTGTGACTGATTTTTAACATTTACTCACTCCCGCGATTTTCACATTATTACGCAAGTCCCAGCCAATTCTACTTGAAAAATGCTATGTTCAATACTTTTTATAGAATTTGTTGTATCAAACTTTTATGCTAAGTTTTTTGGGAAAATAACCAAATATCCGAATAGTTGTTCGAGTAGTAACATTTGGCCGAAGCCGAATCCGAATAGTAAGGGCACTATTCCGAGTATTCGACATCCCTGCTTGCGTGGCCTGACCAAGTTTCTAGTGATTGTAAATTTTCAAGTATGCGTATTACATCCGATTTGTCTTCAATTTGACGGTATAATTTCGCATCGTCAGCAAACAGATATCTTTTTGACGCTATTTTTCACGGCATTGTGTTGATGTATATCAAAAACAGTACTGGGCCGAGTGCTGAACCTTGGGGTATCCCACTTTTTACTGGCTGCCATGAGGATCTTGAAATGTTGATTACCACTCTCTGTTTTCGTCGCGAAAGGAAGTCTGTTATCCAGTTCAAGGTTCTTCCAGTTACTCTATACTGTCTAAGAACTCCGATTAGTCTTTTGTGTGGTACCGAATCGAAGGCCTTTTTGAAGTCCAACTATATCAAGTCGACATTTGCATGTTTGTCCATTACCCTGGTGAAGTCATCAATTACTTTCAGATGAACGTCCAGATCGAAAACCGTATTGTGCAATTGTTATTAGCCCTTTTTCATTGAAATGATCCATTAAATGCTTTCGAACAAACTTTTCGAATAACTTGCAACATATTGATGTTAAACTGATTGGTCTGTAGTTATCTGCCATCGATTTTTTTTACCTTTTTTAAATATTACAGAACTGTTAGCCAACTTCCAGTCTTCAGTTAATTTATTTGTCTCCCAAGAGGTTTGGAAAATAATCAAAAGTGGTTTTAAGATGAATTCTCGTATTTCAAATAGGACCCTAGGATGAATTCCATCTGGTCCAGGCGACCTTGAAGTGTCTAACCGATTGAGTTCTTCTCGGATGTCATTCATTATTAGCTCCAGGTTGTCAACAATGCTGGCGGTTGGTGGAGGGCTGATCTCCCAGTTACCGGGGGTTCGTCAGTGAAAACCGTTGCAAAGAGTTTGAGAGCACTTCTGCCTTTTCGTCGTCTGTGTCGGTTAGCATACCATTTGGTTTTATTAAAGCGGGGATTGCTTCTTTTGTGGTATTTTTTTGTCGCACGTAACTCCAGAATTTTTCGGATTAGTTTTAACTTCTGATGATATTTGTTTTTCTCGTGTGAGTGCCTCCGATCGCGTGGCAGATTTAACTTCGTTTCGTTTGGTTTTATATTTGGTTAAACTGTCGCCTGTTTGATATTTTTTGAATGTTTTCCGGGCTTTTTTTCTTCTTTTATGTTCATGCGCATCGCCCTTGCTAGCGGTATTTGGTTGCCACTGCTGCGTATCTTAATTAAAGGCACGAATTGTTTGACTAAGTCTTTCATGCAGTTTTTCAGTTTTTCACATGTGTTTAACTGAACGCTTGGGTCAGCTAGATGGTTTCTCATCCCGTGGTAGTCTCATTTTTCATAGTTTCTGCGGTTTTTTTATTTCGATTTAATCCTGTTTACTGGCACATCTATCTTGACAAGGACGTGGTCACTTTTTCCGATTGGCGCCTCTAACGTGATGTCTAGATCTTTTAAGACTATATCTGATATCACAACATCAAGCAGTGATGCCTTGTCTCTGCCAGTTAGCCTTGTAGGCTCTTTGGTATGTTGTGTTAGTAGTGCGTCTTTTATTGCCTCTATAATGATGAGCTCAGTGCTATTTTCATCTTTTAATGTGATCCATTAAATGATGAAAATAGATGCTTGATCAGTCTTGGGCGCCAGATTAAGTTCGCAAGTTCAAGGTGTGGCCGTATCAAGCATTTGGAGATGTTTAAAAATGCTTGATCAGTCTTGGGTGCCAGATTAAGTTCGCAAATTCAAGGTGTGGCCGTATCAAGCAATTGTAGATGTTTAAAAAAACTTAATTCGTGACTTTAGTGAAGCTTGTCTTAATTACTGCTATCATGCCGTTTGCCTTATTGACTTTTTTAGTGATGTGTGTTTCGAATGTCAGTTCGTTGTCAAGCCAAATACCCAGGTCTTTTTCGAGTTGCACTTCTTTAATGTTTTCGCCATTGATTTTATAAATCTTCTCCATATCCCATTTCTTGTTTCCTATTGTCATGTGATCACATTTGTCAATATTAAAGGACAAAAGACTTTGGC